AGGGGTCCAGGAGGGCTGGCAGTTTCTTAAGTACTAAATAGCCAGGGTGAACTATTAGTAGAAGATAAATTTGTTTTAAAGCTGTAACCAGATAGCTAACAAAACAATACAGACAAAGAAGGGGAAAGGCTGAAGGTCATGTTAATTTAAGAGAGCAATAGAAATTATTTGATTAACTTGAATAAATTTAAGACAGCAGGGCCTGCTGAAGTTAATTCCAGGGTGCTGAAGGATCTGGCAAAAAGGATCTCAAAGCCACTGACAATAATATTTACCAAGTTGTGGGAGACAGGCAAGGTTCCAGAGGACTGAGAAAGAGTTAACATAGTTCCCATCTTTAAAAAAAAAAAAAGGGGGGGGGGGGGGGAGAGGAAGGAAGAGGAGGGAAAGCCAGGAAATTATATATTGGTCAGTCTAACTTTAAAACCTATGAAGTTATTAGAACAAATTATAAAGAAATAAATTTTGAAATATCTAGAGGACCAAACACTTATCACTAACAGCCCAAATGGATTTGTTAAACAAATCATGCCAAATTTGATCTCCTTCTTTGTCAAAGTAACTAACTGCATGTCCAAAGGAAATGTAGTAGACACAGTATACTTGGACTTTAGTAAAGCTTTTGATAGAGTCTCAAATAACATTTGCATTAGTGCGCTGGAGAAATATGAGCTAGATAAAATTGTTCTAAGGTGGACACATAAATGGCTCCATAACTAAGTGAAGAGTAATGACCAGGGAGCTAGGCTTTCCGTTTCCTGCAGAAAACCATCCAGTTTCCCTTTAAAGGAGAAAACCCCCAGATTTCCCCTTTGAAGTAGGAAGCCATGGGTTTCCCTTGCAGGCTGACAGACTTCCAGCTTGCAACCAGCTGCTTGGGACTGGGAGGAGAGGGGGGGAAGGGTGATCTGGGAATGGACTGGGAAGGTGCAGGGCAGGGAGTACCACATGCACATGTGTACACACTCACACAGCTGGCAATGCAGCCAGGCAGGATGGTGGGAGCAGCCCCAGCACCTGCATGCAGGTAAGTCTATGGGGTGGGAGAGGAGGGGAGTTGGAAGGCCAGGGCTTGGGGACCGTGCCTGTGCTACCAGGGCTGTGGGCCAAGCTCCAGGAAGCCCCACACACCCCCTACCCCACACATACTGATGATGCATTGAGTGGGCATGGAGACATACGTGCCCCTCAAAATTTCTGCGCTGACAACAGGGCACAGGGCTGCAGCCTGGCTGGACTGGCACTGGGTACAAGCTGTGTCTGTGGCCCAGTGGGTGAGGCCTGGTGCTGGACAGTGGATCAGGGTGAAGAAGCTGGGCACTACCATTGCTGCCAGGAGTGCCAGCCATGCCACCATAAGGAACTCTCTGCCTTCCCAGCAGCAGTGGGGTCAGTGACAGCCTGAAGTTGTGTGCGCGTCCCCCCCGTGCTGGCCCTTATACATCACCTACGACCTCACACCCCTGCCCCATACACACACACCCTTCCCAACCCCCTGGTCCACATCCCCCCACCCTTCCATGCACATCCACCTGGTGCAGGAGGGGAGCTCTACTAGCAGAGAGCAAGTGGGGGGTAGGCAGGGGCTGCGGGTTAGAAGTGAAGAGCACCAGCATGATGGGGAAGGCGTGGCTTGGGAGGGGGACAATGCAGGAGCAGCCTCAGTATGTCAGGGTTAGGGGCAGGGGGGGGGGGGGGGGGGGGGAGGGTGAGATACAGCTACAGTTGGACCTGGAGGGGCACGTGTCCCCTTGGTGCAAGGAGGGAAGCTGCTGCCAGAAGGAAGAAAGTGAGGCGTAGGCAGTGGCTGCAGGTTGGGAGTCAGAGGCACTGGTATATCAGGGCTACTCAGTGTCAGAAAGCATCGGGGGGGCAGCTGCAGATGTACCCACATCCTGATGAGCAAAGCGGGTAGGAGGAGCTCTGATTTTCCATGATTAAAAAAAACAAAATCAAAAACCAAAATATATAGGTATTTAGAGTTTATTTTATTATTTTATGATTGAGGCACTGTTAGGCTTCCAGACTGCTTTAACATTGTAAATAATATCAATAAAACATTGTGTTCAACTGATACCTATATATGAGGGGGTGTATACACGTATGTACACACATACACATGCATGCACACACATGCATACAAGCATGGGTGTGTGTGTGTGTGTATACGCGCACACACACACACATACACACGTGTATGTGAATGCGCACATATATATCTCTATATATCTAGATCTATATATATGCTCTATTTGAACTATCTAGATAACCATTTTTCATTTTAAGCATGGAAAAACATGGATTTTGGATTTTTTTTATTTTTTTTTTTATCAGAGAAAACCAGGATCCCTCATAATTGTGAATGGATCAGTGTCAGAATGAAAGAGGTACTGGGGCTGGGGGTGTTGTTCCACAGGGATTTGTCTTTGGTTCAGTGCTGTTTAATATCATGGTATCATGATTTGGATACCAGAACAGAGAGCCTCCAAATCAAAATTGCAAATGAAAAGACTGGGAAGTGTTGAAGGTCAGGAAAAGAATTCAGAAGCATCTTGACAGATTGAAAAGCAGGTAAGAGATAACAGATTGTAGCCCACTAAAACACAGGTGTGCTATACACAGAATGGGAGAAGAATAATCAAAAGCAGAAATACAGAATGGGAGATAACCAGCTGGGCAGCAGCACTGCTGAGAAGGATTTAGGGGGTTTGCTGAATCCTTGGGATCAGCAGTGTAAGAGCTGCAAAAAAAGCAAATGTCATTTTGAGCTGCATCGCATTAGTATTAGATGTAAGACACAGGAGATGACAGTACTGCTCTATTTGAACTAATCAGACCATACCGTGGAGTTCTGGTTTCCACATTTTAAGGTTGGGGACAGCTGGGCAGGGCCCAAAGGCAGATGACAAAAATGATAAAAGGATTGAAAGGAAAGCCATATAGGGACAGGTTAAGGGAACTAGTTATGTATAGCTTAGAGAAAAGAAGATTAAAGAGGAACATGGTAACAGTTTTAAAGTATATGAAAAGCTGCCATAAACACGAACCATTATCTTCTGCCAGAGGGCAAGACATGAAGCAATGTTTTTAAATTGCAATGAAGTAGATTTAGATTAGATCTCAGGAAAAAGAAAAAAAAAAAAAACTTTCTTACTGTTAGAACAGTAAGGTAGTGCAATGGACTGCCCAGTTAAACTGTAGAATCTCTCATTGGAGGTTTTTACGAGGAGACTTGATAAACATCTGATAGAGATGATTTAGGAACAGTGTTCCTCCATTCAGACAGGAGATTATTCCAGACAAACCTTGAGGTTCATTCCAACCCTATGATTCTATAATTCTGTATACAAGTGTATTTAACAGTAACTTAGGAGACGCTTTTCTTGGTTTTTAAATAACCAGTTGTTTCATGTTTAGATATGAAGTCAAAACTTTTGTTTATAAATAATACAACACTTTGATTTAAAAAAACACCAGATTTCCTTCTCTTTAAACAGTGCCTTGTTATATATTTGAAATTTACTTTACCTTTCACATGATTTTCCTATATTATATGTATCAATTTATAACATTAAGATCTTTGCCAAGTAATTATGATGCATCATCTTCTGACTGCTGAAAGCTCCAAATTGAAACATTTATATTTGTGTGCATATAAAACTGACAGACAGACATCAGTTTTTTTATATATATATATATACATACACACACACACACACACACACACACACACACTTGCATCATAATTTTTTTTTATGGGTGCACAAATAAATGTTTCAATTTGGAGCTTCCAGCAGTTAGAATAAGATGCATAAGAAACACCTGGCAAAGATTTTCCTGCAGCATATTAGAGCATATAGTCAGAAAGTAAGAAACTGGTACCACCTAATTAGTGGTGTCAAATAGTTGCTCTGCTTTAAGAGAGGGCCCAATGTAACAGAGAGAAGGAAGCAGAGGAAAGGCTTGATTTTTAGTAAGCCCTTGTAGCTTCTTCTGAGACTTCAACTGAAACTTGGTGTTTGGCATCTCTGAAAAATCAAACCTTAAAATTATTGTATACTTGATTTCAAAATATTTTTATAAAATTTAGACTTAATAATAAACCATGTCCAATTAAACAGTTTATTTTTAAGTAGAACAAATCCAAATAGAACTGGCATTGAAGTAAATGCAATTTTATTTGAATGAGGATTGTCAGATATGGCTCTCAAATGGTACTCAGCGAAACTAAGAACCTCAGAGAACTCAAGAGTGTTAAACTTAATTGTAATTTTCCTTTACCTTTTCCAAGGAATCATCAACTCAAAAGATTATATTTCCTTTTACTCTAGCTGTTCCTACAGATAGTCTGCTTTTTTGCTACTAGATAGAGTAGGGCAGTGTACTCCCGTGTATAATTATATGAATGCCCAGAGGGTATGTACAACATAATTAAATTATAGGGTGTCTTGTGAGCATTCTGGCTAACCTTAGAGGACCGTGAAATAACAGACAATTCACAGGATTTTCCCTTATTTATAATATGCCTCATGCAAAGAAAAGATATTATATGGAGATTTATAACATCAGGAATCTACAGTCAACCAAATGCTATCACTGCTTAAGTAGTTTATGCTCCTTTAGGATTCTGAAAAATGATCCGTCTTGAAGAAGGAACAATTGCTTTTAACAAGAGCAACAAATTCTTGAAACCCCCCATTTGATGTAAGGTCTTTCTTTTAGGATGGGCAATTCAACAAAATTCAATCCAGGCAGGTAGAGAGAAAGCAAGCTTCTCTTAGTAAAGCATTCTGAAGTGATTCAATTGGGTTGGAAAAGACTGGAGTAGATTTTTGTAAAGAGAAAATGCTAGGACAAATTGCTTTTCTCCACAAAGAAGTACTTTCCTGCAGAGATCTGGAAAAGTATGTTTAAAGTCTCTATGGAAGCACTTTGGTCAGCAATACAAATGCAACTTGAAGCAGAACAGCGCACAAAATCAAAGCTATGATTCTACTCACCAAAATGGTGGTTCTCCAACACACTCTTCTGCAAGCTTTACAGGTATCCTTCACTCTTCACAAAGTGACAGAGAGCTCTTTAATTGGGTGGACAACAAAAAGCGAGAAATAACTGTCAAGAAGAAGGAAAAAAAATAAATGTATAAATATCAGAGGAAACAAAAAAAATACTAAACAATAAATATCTATAAAAGTCTTTAATAAATACGGTTCTTACAATGAACTCCTCAAGCAAAGAAAGAGCTTTCTTATCCTGATAGACTAGGTCACTGTAGTAATATTAGATAGTCTAGGTCAAAGAGTTTTTGCTACTTTAAATTGCTAGGCAAGGACAACAACCACTATCTTCCAAGATTTTTTCCTCTTCATTCTGCTACATAATCCATTACTTCCTGGCTCCTGTATTTTCTTCAAATGGATTTTTCTTTACTTTTAAAACATACTTGTGAAAAAGATCTATTTGTGCACAGCCACACCATTTTCTTTCTACTTATCTGACCAATGGAGTGGTCTTTTAGGAGTTCAGAAAGATGATGAATTGAGAATAAATGAAAAAGCCAAACTGTAGTGGGAGAACAGTTACACATTGAAAAAAGAGAAAGACAGTAATTAGTCCTCCTAGCAAGTTTAAACCATCAAAAGGAAACAATTGGGTTCGCCAAAAGTATAATCAGTAGGAACAGGGTGTGGGAAAAAGAAAGGATACCCAAATTCTATCCAACTTCACTGAGGCCAAGTATTCGCATTGTTCCTCAGAGTTCAACCGGAGTTTAAGGGAAGAACATACAATAGTATAATGTAAAAAATACATGAATGTTTTCAATGGTTACAATGCAGCCTAAATGTAAAGTTCCATTAATATTCCATATATTTAATGCTGTCAGTTTTATCTAGTATTTTTAATGAAACACAAGTCTGATATACTAGTAATACTGAACAACTAGATATATATCCCTGAAAATGAACAGACAAATTGGTATTGCATGTCTATTGTTCAACATAAAGTATCAAAATGATTAAATAAGCCTTACGGAGTTCACTTTGCCACATATTGGGCACTAGGGCTGTGCAAAATGGCTGTGTTTCATTTCAGTTTCGGATTCAGCTGTTTCAGAGGACAGTGATTCGTTTCAGTGTTTCAGATCATGGTCTTGTTTTGTTTGGGGCGAATCTGTTTCGAACAGGCTGCAAGCTTCACATAGCCCTACTGACCCAGGTGGAGCTGCAAGGTCCCAGCAGGGAGCAGCACAGGGCCGTGGGTGGCTTATCCGGGGGAAGGAGAGGGCCACTGCCCTCTGTGCAGCTGAGGAGACCCCCCATCATGCCAGGTCATGGGGCAGAGAAGCAGCGCAAAGTGGCAAGTAAGCTTGCTGGTCCCTGCTGTGCAACTTGGCTCCACAGGGAGCAGAGATCTGCACCGGGGGTTTCCTTGCTGCCACTGCCTGCCCCGCGCTGCTCTAGTGACGTGGGGTTGCGTGGGGAGGGCAACGGCGGCAAGGAGACCCTGGTGTGGATCTCTTCTCCCTACAAAGCCAGGTTGCATGGCAGGGACCCGCACTGCCCTGCTGCACGAACTGGCTCCACAGAGAGCAGAGATCCATGCTGGGGTCTCCCCACCATCACTGCCTGTCCCGTGCAGCCCTGTGTCACCAGGACAGTGCAGGGTAGGCAGCGGTGGTGAGGAGACCCCCAGCATGGATCTTTGCTTTCTGCAGAGCCGAGTCGCATGGCAGGACAGCAGCGTACAGCAGCTTCCCTGCAAGCCCAGCTCCGAAACTCAAAAATTTCACACAGCCCTACTGGGCACTTCAACACAAGACATTTACTGTGCAATAGACTAACTGCACAGTAAACATCATGCATCTAAACATGCACCCCTATTAGGCTGGAGTAAATTAATTTAGTCCACAGCAGGACAGGACTTGTAAATGCTGCCCCAGCTGGCTGGGGTATGAGGGTGTTTCAGTACAGGGGCCATTTGCTGGCTAGTCCCACACTGAAGTATGCTCATGCCTCAACCAGGCCCTCCACAGCATGTTGAGCCAGGGGGAGCAGCCCCACACTGGCAGGATAACCCCTCATGATCCCTGCCAGTTGGGGCTGCTCTGACCCAGATCAAAGTGCTGCGGTTCCACGTACACATGCAGATGGCATGCCTGGCAGCGATAAACTCCAGAGTTTATTGCTTCGCATTAATTGCATGTGTAGATGCACCCATTAATACTGTATGGAATCTTAGAGGGCTTCAAGAGTCAGTAGTCTTAGAATGAGTCCATTTTGGAACTGATATAAATAAGGACTGTGGGCACCTATACACATGCTCTGGGAGGGGCGTTTTAATTAGAGTGGTTTAACGTTCAATAAGTTTTAGTTAAATTGTCCCTGTCACCATTTTGAAACACAGGGATGATGAATACATGAGACAATGCAGTACGCTAGAGCATTCTGATGAAAAACACTCCAGCAGACTCAATTAATTGAGTCTACTCCAACACGTTCTAATCAGATTGCATCAGAGCAAGAGTAAGAGTGCCTATTAAGCATAAGTAGGTTGACAGATGTATCGTCCATGTAGTGGGGTTATAAACAGGTGGTTTGTAAAAAAAGAAGATACAAAGAACTGATTGTAACAAGATATACAATGAAACAGGTGCCCCCTCACCTGCTTGTCACTATGATAATAAGTTTATGTCCAGTTCTGACACTTTGCCTGTACACTCAATTGTACACCCACTTGGTGCATCAACACGAGACACTAACTGTTTGGTAGCCTGATAATCCTACTCAGTAGCTTTGTGTGGCAAAAACCATGATGTGATGCTACTGTACAGTAGTGTCACAAAAGAAGTGGTTAGCTAGCACTCCTGCATAGCAACTTGGGTTACTGCACATTTATTTATACACTTGTTTATAGAAATACTAAATAAATGTGCAGTAACCACTGTGTAGTAGCGTTTCATGTAGATGCATCCACTGAATGGTAAATCTGCATTCACTTTACAACATCTTACAGCTCATCTGCTGGTACACTACAATTTTGATCACCACCAAATCTAACAAAGATGTTTATGGGGATTGCATCTGCTTGTATCAATTCTGAATTATGTTACAACTTAGAGGGATACTTCTTTCCTTTTCATTGTTGCAGGTAGCTTTTATTCATTGCCATTTGGCTGGTCATGCCAATGATAATAGTTGGTCAAGCCAATTGACACAGGGGGTAAATGCTAAGGTGCATAAATGCAAAATCCCCCTGACAACATGCATCTTTATATGCACACTAGCCAAATGCCTGTCAACAATGATGGGGGGGGGGGCAGGAGGGGGCTGGGATGGAGTGCCACCACCTATTGCTCCATGCTGCCACTGTTCTGCCTCTTGCAGGGAGCAGGGTGGGAGAGCCGAGGCCTCGGCTCCCCCACCCTGTCTGGTCTCTGGCATGGCTTTGGAATCATGGCGGTGCTCCCCCATGCTTGGAGCACTCTGATTGGCTGTTTCCATCAGCCAATCAGGGCATGAATAAAGCGTTACAGATGGACAGACAGAAAGACAGAGAGAGACAGACAGACTTAGGGTTTTATAAAATATTAGAATTGTTCTTTGAACCATACAATCACAGGCTAACATGTATACACAGCTAGATAATACCTTATTATTTCTTCCTCTTGAATTTTAGCCATTTTGATCTATTATAAGTTTGATTTATTTTCTACATTCCTACATTATCTTGTCACATTCCAAGTCAACCAGGAAAATTTACTGATTGTGTTAGTTTTGACAAGACACTCAATACAGAAAATAGAGGGTGCAGACATTAATCAATTCTTAACCACTTAATCCTTTTAGAAAACTCCCACTCCTCCTAGGCTGCTCACTACTTTCTTTGTTACTGAGTCTGAGGATCAGTCAAGATGTAGTTTTGATGACTTTAAGGAGTTAACCCTTTCCTACCATCCTAAGGAGGCCTAGCATCTGGGTCAGCCAACAAATATAATGACAATCTTGTGAGAAAAAGGGGGGAAAAAAGTAATTTGTAGGGATAAATGCTGCTTAGAGATAGGTTAGTGAAGAGACTGAGGCCAGGTTTTTTAAAAGAACAATCCTCTTCGCTGCACTCAAGAGAAGTCAGAGAGAAAGTAATCATATATGCTGACTCTCAAAGCTCATCTTCAGGGGTGGGAGGGGTCTGCAGATGAAGGGGCACATCTAACCACCTTCCCAGCCTGTTAGGAAGTATTTTGCTTTCAGAAGCCAGCAATAGCTGCAGCATGCTGTGCTCTACAACATGCCTCCCTCACCCTCCACAAGGAAACAGCCTTCTAAGCAAGGGGTCCTTTCATAAGTTTTCATCCATCAGCTTGGTTACTTTTCTCACTATGCTCAACTAGATCAGGAGTTAGCCCTTAGAAGCTAAATATAAGTTCTAGATGTTTGTCATATAGGCCTTTAAAAAGCAACATCTTTCTGTCTTGTGTAATGTACAAAGCAAAACCAAGAGACTAAACGGTGTAGCTCTCATTCATTATCAAGCCAGCCATAGCCAAGATGACTACAGTAAGCAAACTGGAAAAAAGGATGGAGGAAAAACCTGTTGTCTCTTAATATTCTAACATAGTTATGTTAGGAATTACTTATTTTCATAAGAGGTTAAACAAAAGTGTAATATAAAAGTTCAAAGATTTCCTTTAAATTCTAAAACCATGTCAAAAAAAGGAATTTCAACTGGTACACTTCCATTAGCTTATAAATAAAATAAACCACTCTCTCATAGCTGTTGTTTTCTTCAATTAGGATAAATAGACCATGGGCCTGCAGCGGATGTTGGGTATTTTTCAAAGCTTCAAGAGATATCATTTATTGTGCTATTTCATTTATCAAGAGCTAAGTGACAAATGTTGAGCTTCTTGCAAGTAATAAGAGAAATGGTGGAAATCCATTCTAATACATAGGAAAATATCCATTTGGTTTACAGCCACATTATGAGTTTACACTAAGGTAATTTTCCTCATTGAAATGTTTGATGCAAATGTGAATAAAACAAATGCCAATTAAACAAATTTGAATTGAAAACTAAATAAAAGGGCAACCATGCCAATGACACTTCTGTTAATA